AGGTAGACTTTCCTGGGTTCTGTACTGGACCATCAGGAAGAGTCATTAGATGATTAGTTATATCGGGAGGGGGGGGGGGGGGGGGGGGGGNGGGGGGAGGATTGGGGAAAATATCATTTTGTGGTACGATATTGCTCAATAACTCACTTGTGGATTTTTCTTTCTATGAGGTGACGCCTCCGAATCTTTTCCAAGATAAAAGCTTTACACAGATGGTACTCATGTCGTAGTGCCAGAGGTCTGATCTTTAGGGACTGGAGATTTGGCTCCTACCTTCCGGTCACTGATTTGGTTGCTATCTTCTGGGCATCTACTAGTGTCTTTCTTGGATTTGGTCAGGGTTTTTTCACCTGGGATCAGTTTCTATTTCTGGGGACAACCTCCTGGTATATCGTAGGATTAATACGTATTCTTTCACTGAGGAATTCTTTTTGTATCTCAGTTTATCTTCCCGAAGCCTATGAGAATTTGAAAAAAGTATCGACCTGTCTCTAAATAGAACGGAGGTAAACGAATCGACTTGAGGAGAGAACTGTACCTTTCAAAAAAACTTTTTCACTTACCGATTTTTCCGTAAGAAAATGACACAGATGATACTCAAGGTGTTGCGCCGGGTCGTTTTCAAGCCGATTGCAGTCACAGTTTTGTAATGCCCTCGCCAAAATGCTTCTGTACCATATGGGGTGTCATTTTTCACTGTCATTATCGTACAGACTGCCATCGTCCCAGAAAAATGGAGCTAAAACGACTTTCATGTTTCAATCCAATAGTCTGAGCATCCAATAATGGAATTGTCTGAGATAAGGGCATCGATTATGTGCTTGCAAAATTAATTCCATTTCATAATGGGGCTGGCTCACAGTAGGGGCGGCACCAAAGGAAAAATTAGTTGAACAAGAAATGGTGTTCGGTATGGATGAATCTCAGATATTTTCTGGCTTCCAGGTCCTTACGAAGGCGATAACGCCGATACGTTGGCCGAATAAAAAGTTATATCATCTTGGCTAACCTTTACAAAAACACCTTCATACCCTGACTCATGTCATGCCAAACTTCATCGAATGTCCCCATCATCGTCTCTTTTCAAGAAATAACCTATCTTCACCATTGCTATCACTCGATCCTGCGATTTCTTGCGATAAGAATAAGAATTCCTAATTTATACGAATTTCTTGCGATAAAAGTCATTTTTTGGCAAAATCACTCCGTTCTTTGAAAAAAATCGTCCCTATAGATGTTTCACGGAATCTTACATGGACCCACAGTTAAGTCCATCTCTATTCAATCATGAGATTTATGCGACTTTTCATTTTTCGAGTGGTCATGCCTACAGATTTTTTTAGTTTTTTTTTTCTCAAATTTATTTGCCCAGCTGTTTTCCCTTATTCTTCGACTGCTTTTCTTGCCCTTTTTTATAGAGCAGTTGATTGCATCTCCTCCCAGACCATTCCATTTTTTGAAAGTTTGCTTTCAGCTAGGGTGTCTGGTCCATGTTACGGCGGAAGTTGAATGGGCTCTTCCATCAAAGCCCACCTAGCTCCCCTAGTTTTACCTTGGTTGTTAAACTATCAGTCATGTGACGTCAAGCTTGAATTAAAAAATAAAGGTGGGAACTTGAGCATTGTTTGACAGCCGCCAGTCATGAGGTGTGACAGAAAAGTCTTCAAGTTCCTCCGATATTATAAGCAGGAGTGGCGTGAGCCTAGCACCTTAAGAGCCCAGCTCACGACAAAAGTAATTTCTGAGATTTATCTTTAGTATGAATTCGAGACTCCCTCTTACGCCACACCTGTCACTATAAAGTCGAAAAACGTCCTGGATAGAGCACAATAGAGGGCCAGACATTGTATCGTGTGAATGCCACACCCACAGTGGACGAGTTTCACTGCCATTGTAGAAGCTGCACGTTTACAAGGGAACCCATGTGGGAAGTTCAAACAACTTATCATAACTCACGGCGACAAGGAGTGGCAGTTTCGTACAATTTAGGCGATGTAGTCGTCTTTTTGCACAACGGAGCAAGGTAAATCTCATCCAAACACCCCATACATGCCCTGCCCGTCACGGTGAACTCGTACACTTCCACTACTTTTAGGAAGCCTTGAAGTAGGCGGATTCTTTTGTTTTCTTCGCAACCGATGTACTCCTCTACATCAATACCTCGGTCTTACAACTTAAAAGGGTACCTCAAAATTATCGTGAACTGTGCCTTTAAGTTAGGTTCTTCGATCGCGCTGCTCTCTAATTACCACTAACCCAAATTACACTTATATCCCAAGCCGACTTGGCACAAACCACACTAGCTTTCCCTCCCACATGACTACCTTTGGGTAGATCCGATAGGAAATTTCTAAAGAGGTCTACATACTGGAATTCTAAGTGCCAGAGAAGAGCGCAAGTTAGATTGAAAATTGGTTTGCAGGGAAATTCGAAACTTCCCTGATCTCCATTGCCAAGGTTATGTTGGCTTATTGCAATATATCTATTTCTAGAACCTCAGGAGCAGGAAAAGGGGGGAAAAGTAGTGCAAGTTCTTTCTACATAGCGACTTCCGTTTCCCGAAATTGGTTTCCGGCCATTTTCGTCTCGTTTCACCGAGCTTCCTGTACTCAAAAAAAAGCATCTCTAAGGAAATTCTTCGGCATGAGATTTTTCTGGAAAGTAAGAGATATGGTTATTAGCCAGGTCACACCAAATTGTTGACCTGTCGCTTACATGTGGGCAAGAAATCCTCATGATTCAGATCCTCATGGTTCAGATCAGAAGTTTTTAGAGTGAAGCTGAATTGATGAGCTTTGTGCGAGGGAAGCAGCATCGCAACAGTGCCCGTGCCTGTTTTTCTTGCGTCGTTCTGCACAGCAGTTCTTCTTTTTCCGTTTCATCCCCTCTAAAGATAATCCAATGGAAAAGTCGGAAAGGTGACTCAATTTTCTTCCCAACTTAATCACTCGAGTCACCAAAAAGGGCTGGACACCTCTGCCATTAGTCAAATCCGCCCCTATTCGATAAGACATAGTTTTCGTACCGAAGGGGTAGAATCGTTAGCTCCTTGTACTTTATATCGATATCTACCGCTTCCCAAGTGACAGTATTACTCAATCATTGACAATGAGCAGACCAGTACTTGTAGAAAGTCACAAGGGATCATTTCCCTGTAAGCCAACCCTTTCAAGAAGGAATAGTTATACTACACAACCTCAGGGTCAAGGCCGGTATGATGGCGTGAAATCCTCGGATATGCGGTCCGATACTATTTATTTCGACCTGAGCAGACAGCTGTGGTCTATCCACGCCCTTCATCGAATGATTTACGTGAAATTCTTGAGAAAATCCATCGAAAGGGTCATAAAAACGAATAACTTGGGATAGAAACAAAACGTACCTTCAAAGACAGTCATTCAATCTACAGAATTGTAGTAAAACACTGATAAATGTGAAAAACTAGAAACTAATGAGGTTTTATCGGTTATCAGCCAACAGATCTAAATGCGTTCCTCATCGATCCTCTGACGTGAATGATAGCATTTTCCGGGATAAATCTATTTCATAGATAATTAATGACTCTTCCTCTGGCGATCTCTCGGAAAAATCAGTCGGTTTCTCGTTTATAGTTGTCGAAAAAGTTTCAATTGCAACTTTTTGAAGCTAAATCTGCTTGGTCCTTCAGTTCTACTAAGCCCTGAATGCTCCTAGTAGAGATAGGTGAGTCAAATTTTGGATGAGGATAACATGAAGGACCTTCTCGGCATCCCAAGCCGAGGTGAATGGACCTTACTCCCCCAAGTCCCACATTGGCAGTGGGTTGTGCACCTGTAGGAATCCTTGCCTATTTTTGAGCTTGGGCTCGACATGGAAAAAATTAATTCAGATGCCAGTTAGACACAAAATAACAACATGAACTGAATACGTGTCCGAATGTCTTCACGACCTCCAAGGGAAGCCGACTGGGAAGAGAATGAGGGTTCATGTGGAACATTCTAACCCACTTGATGAGAGCTTTACTTGTAAGTACACACAGTGGCTGTTGACCAGGAGTCGGGTCAAACATACAACTCTCATTTCTTACGTTAGCTGACTAGATTTCAGAAGAACGAGGTGTCCTGGGCAAGTTGGCTGGTTCCTTCGTCTACTTCATGAAATGTGGCACATCCCAGAGCTTTACATTATCTCATATTTTTCGATAGCTCGGCAAAACTGACTTGTTAGCCACGTATAGAGGGATGGATGGTGAAGACACGATCCTCCTCCAACAGCATAAGGAGCACTACGGTAATGGGCTCTTCTGGTTGCTGCTTCAGAGGCTTCCAGGGGCTTCCAGAGGCTTCCTCATATGCAGGTCAGACACTTTCACCTTCGAGATTGCGGAGCTCAAGGAGAAAACGAGAATTTAACCAGAATTTTGTGACTGCAGGTTACCGTATGCACCAATATGTGAGAGTTTTCCTCAGAACAGGTCTATCCCTAGAGCAATTCCCCGGTGTATACAGAGTCTTACCTCCCTTGGCTTACCTTCTTTCATTTCTTACACATAGTTATCGCTTTTCTTCGCAACCCAACGCTAGCCGGCAACCCTACACTGCATTCCTCACTCTAGGTTCAACGAACGATCTTACCTCTACTTCATTCCTTTTCGTAAACTTCCCCATTCCCACGTAATCACCCGCCATCGGGTAAATTCTCGAAAATCTCATATTAGCTGTCAGAAAATGTTTCCCCTCTCCCAGACTCCCATTTGATTCCCTGATTTCTCGTTTTTCCTATTTCTCTCCTGTCATCCAGGTAGAACACTAATCAATGATGTTCGGTTTGTTTGAACAACACTCTACATATTGATCGTTACATAATTATTTGAACATACTGCTGTTCGTGATTCCCTCTCGATTTCTGCGTCATTTCAGGGCTTTAGCTGTGTTCTGTTGCCAGAGAACATTTGCTGAAATCCGAGCTTCACATTTCCATTTCACAGTGTCTCGATCCGGAGACGAACAGTAGCCGTGCCTATGTCAGTGCCGTCCGTCGTCGTCATTCAAAATGAGGGTTCGCCCATTACTGCAGCTACCGATGATGAAGATTCCAGAGGAAATGGACATGTAAGTCACACCATCGACATTGGATGAAGTTTTGAAGCTAAAATCGGCTTGGTATATAGTCAACACAAATCAAAGTATGTATAGGGGTCCTTTAGCTTGTTTGCAAGAGAGAGGAGTTAGCAGCAGTGTGGGGAAACAGCTACCAAAGGTCTGCTATTTCTGCAATGGATTTTTTGCCCACATGAGGGTAACAGCGAGAAAATCGGTCAACTTCGGGACTATACATAATCTATTCTGCCATGCCATCGACACATAAGAGTTCCTGTTATGGGAAGGTAACCGATCGTTGGCCGTCACATTTGATAAGAAAGTCCCCTCCACCAGTATCTGTAGATATGCGGACGTTGTCTCGGAAATTGCTCCTATGAGCCGTTATCAATATTTACTTCTACAGCTGCAGATCCGCCGTGAAAGTTCGTTTCGACGTCATGGCTCATCTCGACGATCTCGCTCAACACCGGCTGCGGATGCCATTATGTCCGGCGAGGAAGGGATTGCCAGCCACCGGGTAAGCTTTCAAAGTTTGTTAAAAAAATCAGTTTCTCGGTCTGAGTAGGAGATGGTCGAACACCTTTTCAACTCCTGCTTGAATCATTTCGGTAGCTCTGCCCTGTAAAGAAAGCTGAACCTTTAACTTCAATTCCGTTTTTATCAAAGAAAATACAGTGGCGAGTTTAAGATCTCGGGATACCTTTGTCCTGTACCCTCTGAAGTACGGATTTCAAAACTTTCGTTTAAGTTTAAATCCAACGAAATTCCAAGCAGTTGTGAGAAAGTTGCACTTTCTTGCAACTGCTTGGAATTCACTTCGGTAATAGAGCGGGTCTGAGAAAAGTGATCCCGACTCCCGGGTGCCGCTCCCCGCTTATTGCCTCCCGTTCTCAAACCTCGGTCTCAGCTGTTTTCAAAGTGCTTTGTAAAGGATCCTAAGTTGTAGTTTGTTGAATTTCTATGGGTACTGCTGCAAAAGAACACATTGTACGAATATGTCCCAGGGAACAACGCAGATATTTTTGAATCCGACCCTTCCGACCCTTTTCCCTACCTTACTGAAGCTCGTCCTCTACTTTATGGTGTTGCACAGTAGCAAGAGCTTTCTTACTAAGTTTTACTGCACCCCACAAAAAAAACACGCCTTCCATCTATCGTTCAATGTGGGTGTTAACACATTCAGCCGTCCCGACCCCATCGTCCTTGAAATTTATGACTTTTGTCCTCAAAAATGAGGCTGGGGCTCTCAGAGCTTGATTTGGTGAACATTGAATAGTTTTTCATATACATGTGGACGCTTGAAGGTCAACTGCTTCTGATGAAGTGGTAGCTATCCATCTCTTTGCTTTGCATTTCGTGCCTTCAATGCATTTTTCAACTACTCTCTCGACGAAAAAAGGTGAAACTTCCGTTCTCGAGAAGAGATTTCGTCTCCAAAATCTTAATATCAGGGCTTAGAAAACCAAAATATCATCTTTTCTCTTCTCAAAAGCTTGCTCACCTTTGAAAAATGAGAATGAAATTGCAAAAATGCAACAGAGTGGTCCCAACTTCTGGGAATGAAGTACTTAACAGAATGACTGTATAAAATTAAATGTCTACAGAAATTCTGATCAACAGAGGTGGATTCAGCTTCCTCATGTCCTCTTCAGCGACAGTCGAGCTTTCCTGAACGAAAATCTGTTTGGAAACCTGGTTTTCGGTGTTGACAAGGTGTTGGCGAAGATAGAGTACCGAAAGAAATGTCGATAGAATAAACTGGGTTAGACAGACGGTTCTCATTAAGATCGGCAGTGGGTAGGATCAGGGTTGATGGCAGCGCTCACTCAAATATTTTCATAAATTGCTGTTTTCCTCACAATCTTAATCCCACACCCGATCTGAACTCAGTCAGTTCTGAGTAAACCAAAGCTTGTCTGCAAAAATAGAAGGTCAAGTTTGTCAAGTACTTCGCCCCTTGTTAATCCTTGGACGGATCATTCATGGCACGAGCTTATCAGTAACAGTTGAACCGTTACCTATGGAAACTAATTAGTTTTACTGGTTAAGAATACATGAACCCCATTGCAAGCTCATGAACGGACCTTCTTCATGTAGAAGAAACCCTGGAAAACAGACTCACCAGGTTCTCTCACAAATGGAAAGAGCCAAACCTTAACCTTAACACCTTAGTCTGAAGAGCCAAGGTGTTTAAGCCATCAGCGTCGAAGAGCGCTCCGTAGGATGTGAAATTTACTCTTTAAAAAATCTCTTTAAAAAAAGTTATTGCTTCGAAAGTCGGTGATTTTATCGGAGGTTAAGCCACCTGAGTAATGGAACCACCTATAAGCCTGGTATTTTGTTCAGCAACTGGTAATTTTTTCGTTCGTATGCCAAATAGGAGATGACGAAGTTGAATAGACTTTCAGGGGTTTCGTTATTCAGATATATGTGAGTGAATCACTTTGTAATTTGGCCCTGACGTCCCTGACTTGAAGCTACCGTAGCCGTCATCCTGAATGATGCCCAGAGAACTGAACTATTACCATTACCATAATATGTTAAAACTTTCTGAGTTTAAGTAGTGTAGGATCGAAAGCTTCGCAGTATGGAAAGCATCGCCAAATTCTTCAAAGTGGTGGGTTTATAAGAGTTGGTAATCGTCAGTGTGAAAAAAAGTAATCTTGTCATATACCTTATCACTCACAAATTGTGTACATGTTCTACTGATTGTTCTCACATTCTACTTCTCTTCCTCAACGTTTTAACTATGGATATTGATTTTACGCCCCTTTATCTTATACTGTTCGTCCCGAAGATGCGTCTAAAAGGGGAAACACGTGACTGTTCTCGTGTTGTCGTCTGTTTGTGATTGTTTGTAAATACATCCAAAGCTAATTGAGTGAAATGTCTCATTTTTCAGGGAAGCCGAAAAGCGCCTCCAAAAGACTATGAACCCGGACTACGTTCAATGCTATATGGGCTTCATCAAAGGCAGTGAGTTTTTTACCTTTGATCCATCACAGCTAACAGCCTGAAATGAAGCTATTCAGGGAAAAAGAAGAAGCGGAGATGAAAAAACGTCAAAAGAAACAGCTTGGTAAGTGAAGTCATCAGCAAGTTTTTTTATCGCACTCTGGCTTGATTTTTATCGAGGAGAGAGAGAAGTACGTCCCTTGAGGGACCAACCTTGATAAAATTGCTTGTTTCTGGGTGTTCGGCCAAAGACACTCTTAGTGCTGGGTCGTTCGGTTCATTCCTAACGCCAGCACTAATTTGGATAGAAGGCTTTGGAAGGCGAAAAGTGGATCAATAAAATTACAAAGCCAAAGCTATGACCCTACGAATTTTCTAAAATCTCCTCCTCTCGTCAAGTACATGGCGCAACAACAACAACATGCTTATTTTTTATAGGCAGTATGATTTTTCTTTCAAAAATTTTTGTAATTTTAGTGTATTCAAAAGTATTACATCCAGTATAAATCATTCATAAAAACATTCATTCATAAAAACACAAAGCTGGTGTTGTGACCTTACAAAATCTCTACAATTTTCCTCCGTCGTCAAGTACATGGCGCAATAGTACCACCATACTTTTTCACCAAATCCTGATAATTTTTTCAAAGAAATTCCGGTAGTTTTCGTGAATTTAGTGTTTTCAAAGGCATTACATTCAATAATGGTGTAAGTATTGTTGTTTTACTGAGGAACTTATCTCGGCAGAGGCTTCCCGTGGCTGCTGCCAATCTCCCCGGGGAAGTGCGCTTCCTTTTATGGCGACGTATGTATTCTACACTTGAAAATTCGGCTTTTCGGCTATCGGCTCTTCATTTTTCACGTATAAATTTGACTTTTAATCGTTCCTTTGAGATATCTTCCATGGAATTAATGCCATTAGTCAAGTTCAGTATAGAAGACCAACTAAATGACCAGCGACGTAAACGTATTAGCTTCCGCGAATTGGTTGATTATTCCTTCGGGCTAATTTCCTGCCTTAAGCCCCCACCCCCAAGAACAGAAATAAAGAAATTAGTTTCAATAGCGTACGCATGGCTCATGCTGAGTGCTAAACTTCTTTTCTTTCCTTTCCCTAATGAGCTACCAAACTCCAATTCCCACTGTTTCAAGAGGAAGTTGTTACCTACTCTGCCATTTTTGTTCCGTTCTAAATCAAATTCTCCTGCTGCTGCAGCTTCAGGGACGACACCCCGACGACGAGTTGGGTGGCCGGCCCTCTGAAATCAAATTCTCATTGATCGCAATAGAATCGTGTGAGGCGTTGATGCCAGTAGAAAGAAATTGTGGACTACTGGTGTTTTCGCAACATGACTAACCAACCACCCATATTCCACCCATAGCTAGCCGTTTTTGATTTTGCCGTGGTAGGTATTATAGGTGAAAACAATCATGAATCATTTATTTGTGTGGTGGTGGTGGTGTGGGACGGCCCACTAGTGGTTTTGTGGCAAATGGAGGATTTTTCGTCAAAACGTCCCAAGTTGGCTTTTGATGATGGGGTGAACACACCCGAGACGCCAAGCCAATTAGTAGGAGGGACAGAGCGGTTGCGTCTCACTCATTGCTTTTCGCATGTGTGACGGTCGTGTGTATGCGTGTGTATTGGTCCTTAAAAAGAGTCAGTGAAAACGCAAGAATGGAGCTGGAGCTGCAGAAAGTGGGCCCGCGTCATTGGGCCCCTTATTCCTGCCACTCACCAATCTCTTCACGACGAAAAGCATGACACGCTTGGGGCTCTTGACGTGGGGGATGGATACGCGCGGTGCCGTGCGCGATCGTCATCGTCTCCCTTCCTTTGCTCTCATCATAACAGATTACTCGGCTTTAAATGGCATTCGATTTTCGCATTCTCATTCCCTTGCCCGTCAGGTACATGCCCTTATGCTGAGGGGAAGCGTCGTCGAGTTCTTGCAATGAGCATTATCCTATTCAATGATATTCGTTTGGATTTTCTCAGCCGCTACTCAGTGCCATCTTGATTCTCTATGTATAAGGCGCTTCCCAAGTGAATATTTTTGGGCAAATCGGATTGTTCTCATCAATCACGTCTCGTAGACAAAGGCTTTTGGTCTTTCTGTGGTCTATTAGCCTTTAGTAATCCCCCCTTGCATTCGGGCGTGTATTCATACTGGCAGTCCGGAAATGTGCGGGGTGCGAGACTTTGCTTCCTCTTCTTCTTCTTCTCTTCAATCCTCCAGCCAACATCTTTCCAAAATATTACACTTTCTGTTTGGTCTTTTCGATTTTTCGTTGTTTTCGCTTTGCTTATATGGAATCCCATCGCTTAACGCACTAACACGATGGAGCAATAGCTCTTTGACGCCCAGAAAACCTTATGAATAGGTAATGATCGACAACCAGAGTTCGTAGAGAACAAGAAATTTGGCAGGAGCTTTAGCCTGTGGAGCCTGGTTTAGCCTTCCTTCTCGCTCTCCGTTCTTTTTCATACTTTATTCAATATTTCTCCTAAACCTCCTACTGCATGTGATGTGACGTGCCATTCAAATAAAGCCCGTTGTTTAACAAATTGCCTGTGTGTGATCTTTTCTCACCACCCCTTCAGACGCCGTGCATTAATCAACTCTCTGACTTCTCTTAACACCTCCATTATTGCCTACTAAAAAAATTTCAGATGACGTCTTCACCATCTCCATGTATTTTACTGCAAAACTCCTCTAATTGTACCGATGCCATCGTCATCATCAACAAACCCGAACGGAACCCAATTGTTCGTCAATCGGTCTCGATAGACGTCCCCATATCACAAGCGACGACGAACGATGTCAATGATGTGACGGAACCACGACCACGATCGTCGTCACGTCTGGGAAGGACTCTGCTGAAAATGTCCAGTATTGATAGGCTTTGGTGGCCGGCTACCAACAAAACCACGATCGCATTGAAACGTCAAAAACGTAGTCATACAAGCAGTCCGTTTAAGAAGACCCGGAGCATCACACTTCAGAATCTACATCATCTTCAAGCCGCTGCCCATATGGCTCATGTAGACCTACATGGGACTTCGAATATGCGCAAAAGTTTCAGTGACTTTGTGATCGGCTGTGAGTCCTTTTTTTGTTGTGGGCCTTTGTTTCCTTTGACTAACATTTGAGCTTTTTCAATGTTAGGAGGCCTAGTTGTGTCTTAATTTACTAATTTCGTTTTTGCGTTTTCTAAATTTTACTGGCTTGCCCTGCAATTTTCTTTTGCTCGTTTTGTTTGCTGCCCATCTACTTAGCGGCCTCTCACATTAAGTAGCTGGTGACATGAGTTTGATTTGGTGCAGTGGCAGTGGTACCGCATTTTTGACACGAGCAATGCGCGATAGAATCCTTTCCTTGACTTAATAGTTAACCGTTGTCAATTACTCGCAGTCAAGGTGGACCAGGGCTACGATTAGATTACTGGCTGATATCATAGGTATTTCATTATTATTATGCTAGGTGTACCTGAAATATCTCCATAAAACTAAATCCCACCTGGCTCGATCCATTCCGAATAGGAGTTGGCCGAGCTATTTTTTATGGCCTTATTATCATGAATGAATCATGAATTCTTGTTGTGATACTCTGCCGCTTGCGTCGGCTACATTTGGACTTTCTGCTGAACCATTTTCTGAAGATTCTGGTCTGATAACGTTACTATCCTGAACGGTTTCCATAGTTTTTCATTAACTTCAATTCTTATGAGTTATCCATTTCAAGTCTGATACTATAGAATTGTGAAACAGGACCTTAAGGCTGGACCGTCCAGTGAGACTCCATGTATGCCAAGGGCATAGTGCAATCCTACAGGATCACATCTTACCCTAAACAACGAAGATTACTGTCCTT